CTCAAACTTGATACATGCAAGACTTTAGTCACTCTCGTTTGGGCCTCTTGTCCTGCTAATGCTTGCTGATGCAGCTTTGTTGATAATTATCATTGCCTCCGCAGCAACCACCAAACTCGCTTGAAGAATGGTGAGCATCTTCTGTTTCGGGTCTGCCGCGGTCTGCCGGGTGGGGCGATTTGCTTGCAGCTTTGCTCGTGAGGTTCCAACAGATGATTGGAGTGAGAGTCCCAGTTTGCCATAGCAGAAAAACCGGGGCTGGGCTGTGCATCTTTGAACACTCAGGTCCACCTGAAACAGTGCAAAGCTGAGCTTAGTGTAGACTTGCGCTTTTTGTTTGGCAGTTTTCCGATCAAACACCATTCACATTCTGGGCACAGAGTGCAACAATGGCGTAGCCGAACGGCTGAACCTCGCTCATCTGAAGAGGGGAAGTTTGACTTAGCATTGGCAGGGAGGTCGGCGCTTTCAGACTTGGGCAAACGAGGCAAAAGCTGCTCCTGAAATAGCTGCTCCTCGAGGTCATCGAAGTGCTTCCACATTGTTCCTTGTACATTTTTCCCTTGCTCTCCTTCAGCCCAGGGGTACAAGCACCAGGTATGCCAACCGGTGTTGAAGCGACATGAAATCAAGCCACAAGTCTGACAACTTTCTGGTTCTATCAGAAAAAGAGCTGGAGAAGAGCTTTCCTCCAACCCATGCGGAGTGGACGTGGATGGGGGCCCAGGGCATCCTGCTTTGCCTGGCCGGGCCTTGCGCAGATGCTTCAGCAGTGCCAGCTCACCCAGCGAGTAGACAGGGCGACCAGGCCCAGAACTGGACCCACCTTGAACCCAACGAACATCCAACCTAGGCTTCAGTGAGATCTGGGTGTCAAGGCGTGGCGTTTGGGAGAGTTGCAAGTAGGGCCAGGAGCTGAATTACTTGGAGCTGAATTAGCTTACTGCGATTGGTTGGAGCGTCGCACCTCAAATCGTATGTGTCTTTGGTGACGTTGATTGACACTCGTGACAACACACGTGTCGCAGATTCACCTACAGCGCACGGCTGGGAGCCCAGCCCAACAGTTTTTGTGACATGCTGAGGTTGCGATGTTTTTACTCTGTCGTTTGTAGTGGAACCATTCCTTTGGACCAGCGCTGGGGGGTGCACGACAATCTTACAGAACAGGGTAAGAAGCGACAACTATATGTAAGGAAGCCTGAGGAAGAATCACATGACAAAGGTGGCGCAGGTGGACTGACAATTGGCCTCACAAGGGACGACGAGTCATGCAAGCACCAGAGACAACGCGCTCACAATGGTGCTCAGTGTTTGTGGAGCAGTCCCAAGACACAATAACATAATCAGCCCTGATAGTGTGGAAGATGCCATTGAAGTGCGCTGGGACTAAGGATCAAGGCCATCACTGGCTTTCTCCTCAGTTTTCAGCAGGGCTAATGATTGAACACCTGCTCCGATCGACCCTGACCACGGATGTTGGCTGAAGAAACGCGGCTCTTCTTCAGCAACCAAGCTAAACGATCTTCTGCAGGCGTGCTGTTTGAAAGCTAGATCACTTTGATAAGTTGGGACCTTTGGTCTCAAGAACTGTATACTGAGGCAGTGAGCAGAAGGTTTGAAACGAAAAAGCAGTCCGGAGCCTTGTGCTTGGCGCTGTGCTCAGGCGGGAAACTCACCCAGAGCAAGCCCAAGACGTCCAAGAGGCACACAAGTTGCTGCGAGGGCGAGTTTCGGGAACTACCAAAGTGGACTCGCAAATGGCATCAAATGGAAGCTATTAGGAACAAGGACGCTATTAGGGGCTCCTGGCATCGCTACTAGGAGCAAGGACGCTACTAGGGGTCCTGGCCGTACTACTAGGAACAAGAAGCTATTAGGAACAATTTTCCCCGCGAAGTAAGACTTCAGTGTTGGGAGTCGGCACTCTTTCTTCCCATTCTCCTGCTACAACGGAATGGCCGTCGTGCGGGCCATTGCACAGCACAAAGTGGATTGGACTTCGGACAGGGGCGCCAACATGGCCTTCTTGGCAGGCTTCCAAAGCTGGGGGGCCCAGATACCAGAGATAGGCCTGTGGCTTGGTGCTTCTCAACCTCTTGGGCCTTTAGCCTTTGAGGGTGCCAAGATAAGAGATGAAGCTTTGACATAGTAACATATAGCAACTTGCCTTGATGGGTGCTATCAAACATGTTGCAGCATACACAATATATTCAATAGAGTAGCAGCAAACAGGGATGCAGCAAAACATTCAAGCTATTGCTCAATGGTTGACAGTGCTACTCCCAAAGCAGGGAGCCGTTGCCGCATGAATCGGCACCCTTGCTACAGCCTGGCAGCCCTGGCACGTGCGTTTGGCATGACCAATGCTTACGAATACTTTGTTATTCTATATAGCTTTTTTGTTACTACTAGTAAGGCACTTGTTACTACTAGCGTGGCACCTGTTACTACTAGCTTCCTATTTTTGAGGGTCGCCATGGAGGCACCCGAAATTGGCCCAGCCGTCTCTGGTGCACTCTGGCGAGGTGAGGTCCGCCGAGCGATCGCAGCCCAAGCACAGCCCAAGAGGTGAGGTCACAGTGGCGAAGATCCCGCGGATCTAGTAGCTTCTTGCTCCTAGCAGTAAGGCCAGGAGCTACTAGTAGCGTCCTTGCTCCTAGAAGCGATGCCCTTTGTTACTAGTAGCGATGCCCTTGCTCCTAGTAGCTTCTTGCTCCTAGTAGCTATTTGCTAGTAATGCCCTTGTTACTAGTAGCAATGCCCTTTGCTACTAGTAGCGTCCCTTGTTACTGGTGTGTTTCTTTGATGTTACCATTTGTTAAACATTAGTGCCACACTGTCGCACCCACTTTCTTCTTGTCCCATATTGCTCACAGCCTCGAAAGCGAAAGATAATGCTGATAGATAATGTTGATAGAAACTGCACGGTAGTACGTCCCCGTGAGAAGTGCTCAAGCCATCAGCTGTGCATTGGATTGATTGACATTGTGTTCAGCAACCCCGTGGCTTTTCTTCAGAAGGGCAGCTGTAGCAATTTGCGGATGCGTGAATAATAAATAGGTTGATTGTTTTCCTTGATGCAGTACTTCTGGCTCAACACAGTAAGTTCCTGTGGATTGGGAGAGTCCAGCAGCAGAGTGGCCATGCCAGAAGAAGAGAGCCTTGTTTTATGAAAAACCATCCAAGTTTTCCATTGTTGCTTGCCAGGGAAGTTTTGGCAGGCATTTGTCCTGTCATCCTCAGTGAGAAACAGTCAAAACGGAAGGGGTCGACGGAGACAAAAGCTAAGGAAGCAGCAGACAAAGGAGACCACTGAAGAGAAGCCAAAAGAATCTGGTGGTTTGCTGGACGAGGAGGCCTGTTCTAAAGATTGCAAGGTGTTGCATGCGGCCTTGTTACTTGGATGGCGCAAATTGGGTGTGTGAAGACTATTGTTGACTATTCGCTTACAGGTCCACTTAGTACTGACATTTGAGGATTTTAACTGATGATTCCACCGAATAGAGTTGCGTGTTTGGTGGGGCGCGTCAACTGATTGTGGGAAGTAATAGAAACAACGGTTGAATTTTGCCAGGATGAGTTTGAGGAATTCGAGGAGCCAGATTGGGCCCTAACCTTAGCAACAACACTGTGATAGTTCACGATCGTGCTTGCATCGAGATATGCTTAGTTGGTTCGTTCAATGTCGCCCACTTGAGCGTCCCGATGATCCTATGGCTTGTCAGCGTTCGGGGGCTTTTCAACAGATGGTATCAACTTGAAGTGAGTGAAGAGAGTGTGTCCAAGTGTAGCTGTAGCTTTGACAGCCTGAGTGATGGACAAGTATAGTATAGTAGTACAGTATATCAGTACATTTGTGACTGAGGAGACGCCAGCACCAGGCACATCAGAGGCAAAGCAGTGGGAGGAAGACTGGGATGATGCCGGTTGGGATGATGAAGATCAGGACTGCAAAGGTTAGATTTTGAAGGAGTACAGTCTCCAAGAATCACACGGCAGCATGCCATCGTGCATATACATATAATATATATATATATATATTAATATTCCCGATAGATATACCTAGATTTAGCTCGTCCTAGACCCTCCTCCGCCGCAGGACGACTCTTTTCAGAAGCGCTTAAAAGAAGAGCTGGACAAGATGGATGTGAAGAAATGAATGGGGATTGTCCTGTCTCAGGGCCCAGGGAGTTCAACACCGTGACAGCCGAGCCAACGTCATATTAACCTTGATTTCAGCGGGCGCCTGGGACATCGCATGCGGTTTTGGAGATGTGGGCTGCACAGCTTAGCAGAATGAGATTGCGATGCATCAAACATGTATGAAATCATCTAAAATCTACAAGCATATCAGACATATCATGTCCCTTTCCGATGATCGAGCAGCCAATTTGCTGCCGAGCGAAAGCATAGGCCCAAACAGTGGGCTCGCGTACCATCAAAGCTATAGAATTCTGTTCGACATTCACCCGCTAGAAGAAAGTGAGCTTGATAAGAGGAATGGGAGGATGGGATCTTGTGGTTGCCGCATGTTGCTGCCAAGTGTTCCTGTCACAGCAGTTTATATACTGTAGTTTGTGTTCAGTCCTGCCCCTCGTCCCATAAAAAGCAGATGTTTGATGTTCGAAGTCTATGCACACGGAACCGATGGAACCAAAGCCGTCAAGCTCCTGAACCTTGAGGCATCACCTCTAAGACCTCCATGGAATCAAACAGCTGGCTGCTGCCACGGAGCTACAGGGAAAGGTCAGCAGAGGTTCACTAGGCTGTAAGCTTTTTGGATCTCATGATAGGACCCTCAACGAGGAAACGAGGACAAGCCAAAGCTGGAAAGTGACGTGTATCTACCGGCTCTCTTGTGTGATGAGCATCAAGACAATCACAATTCCAGCTCAATCTATCTCAACATTATGTATTGAACTGTTGCGGCCCAGTAACTAGCAACAATCACTATTTAGTTGAATGTGTAACAATCTGCGCAACTTCGACGTTGGTCCATGCTACTGAGGTCATGCCGCTTGCAGCGGCCAGAGGCACCAACGAATGACAAGATCCCCTGGGACGAGTCAAACGAACTGGGGCTCAAGCTGCGATACAGATGATACAGCCACTCAGTTTCTACCTGCTTAATTATCCAGGGCTGGGATTTCTTTTCAGGGGATCATGTTTTGAGCAGCCTTGGCCATAGTCGTAGATAAACTCAAGCAGGCTGCTTCGAAGACCCGACCAAAGACGGCGAATGCCCCGTTGCCTCGTCCCGATGCCTCGTCACAGTCTGCACCTTGCATCAGCGCGCTGGTGAATGGGTCCGGCCCTCAGCACGCTGGAACTGCATGAGGCTTGTCGAAGCCACTCAGTAATGCCAGACTCCTTGGTGCTTAGGCCACAAGCTCGACACAAGCCAACAGGCCCATGAGTTGTTAGGCTTTCAGTCAATGTGCTTTGGGCGAATCTATTGGCCATCGCCTTGCGAGTGGATCAAAGTTGCCTAGTCCGGCAGATTGGCAAGAAGATTGTCTTGAGTGGATCCTTCTCAGTGGAACGTGTTTTTTCTTTTAAGCATTCTACTACATCAACAGTTTGCATTTTTGCACCGGCCTGTTTTGAATATAGATGTGACAAATTGTGACAAGCTGAATGCGAAATTGCTGCACTATTGAAGCAATCGTGGTCAAAGGTATCGATATATGATAGATAGTCCGAAAAGCTTACAGACCTTTCATTGCCAGCTTCAAGCATCGAAGCTGAAACAACACAGCCATGTTTGCACGAATGGGTGCGTGGTGGTCACGGGAACTTCGGTCGGTTTCTCAGACGGTGGGAGCTTTCGGATGGGCAAAGGAGCGCGCTTGTTCATATGTGCAAGATCATTGAGTAGGTCTGATTTGGCTTCCACCTGGTGGACAGGGCTCGAGGGCTGGGTAGATAATGGCCACTCTTACTTACATCACGTGGTCTTGTTGCGGGCCGAGGCTTGGCTCAAGCTTTAGAGCCGCAATGACATCCCCTGACACACAGGGTGGCCTAGTTTGCTTTTCGCACATGTGGCCGTGGGGAGGCTTCAATGACAGGCCAGAGCGGCCCGAGAGATCGCTGTGGTCTATCACCAATTGTTACTGTGGCACCGATGTCTTTTCGCCGCCGCCCTCCCCAAAGCGAGGGCGGACTCTTGGACAAGGTGCTGCGCAGACTCTCCTGGCCAAAGGGCGGGAAGCTAGCGGTGTTTTGTCAAAGGCTACTGTGGAAGTCGTGCACGTAGTCACTGCGGATGAAACCTCCACGGAGGAGCAGTTCATGTCCAGTGCCTCTTTGCCAGAGCCAAACTTAAGCACCAAGCGAAGCCCTGGCATTGACGACAACACCGGAAACCGCAGTGTCAAGAACAGTGTCCGATGGGAAGTCGAGGTCACCGGCTCCCCAAAGTCACAGAAGTCGCAGAAGTCATTGGAGAAAGCAGATCGAAGTCAAAAGAAGCGAAAGACCCTTCACACCTGGCCACTGGGCATTTCTTGATTTGTACCGCAAAAAACACATAGCACCCCAAAGAACTTAAGAAAATTGGTCATATCAATCCCTCCTGACTGAGACAATGATTGCTGGGGATACATGTCCGAAAAAAAGTAAAAATACCTTGACATTACCTTGTGACATGTTCACGCGTGTTTTTTTGGACCTGGCAGACCTCTGGACCAGGCTTGACTTAGTTCATTTGAAATCCGAAGATGCACGAGCTTTCAAAGGAGGTTTCGAACGTTAGACGCCGAGGCTTAGCGCCATGCTTGATGTCTCCGAGGGCGGCTTTGATACTCTCGGAGTGCCTGAGGGTGGCGGTTCTCCGTCATCGGCCGCCTATGCGCGCTCACGCTCCCGGAATTTGCACCCGCCATCGATTTCAGGATCAATCCGTTGTTTGCCTTTTGTTTATGTTAAAAAGTTTTGGAGCATGCTTTCAAACATGCAGAGTGGCAGGGGTAGGATGAGCTCACTCACCAGTTGCACGTTCACCGTTCCTTTTTTTTGATTTTTTTCGATATTAACCTGCCATACCTGGGATGTAGTTTTAAGTGGTCCCACCTTTATTGCATTATTGCCACTGCACATCCAACTCTAAGTTCCCTCCAACTACGGGCCTGTTTTGCGTCAGCATGACAAATTCATCGAAGATAGTGATGGCATTTTCAAACTCCTCAAGCATGGCTTTTGAGAGGACGCTACTAGGGGCTCCTGGCCATACTACTATAGTAACAAGAACGCTACTAGGGGCTCCTGGCATCGCTACTAGGAGCGATCGGACGCTACTAGGTGTCACCTGAGAGGACTAAGCCCTTCTTCCAAGTCTCCTCGAAGTCGTGGATGGCGAAGCCCTAGCTCTGCTCCATCAAGTCCAGCAAACAGATCGATTCCAACGCCCACAGGAGTGAACACGAACGCTGAGCGGCCGGCACGTCAGCCTCTTAAAAAACACTGACACATCTCAGAAAGGCTGAACATCAACTTCCATAACTTCCGCGGGCGTGCTACTAGGAGCAAGGACCCTACTAAGGGCTCCTGGCCTTAACTTACTACTAGGAACAAGAACTCTACTAGGGGCTCCTGGCATCGCTACTAGGAGCAAGGATGCTACTAGGGGCTCTGTTGGCTCAATGAATCGGCATATCCATCTTTCCCGCCACGTGCCGTCACCGGGCAGGAGACTCTGGTCAACCAAGTATCTTGTGGCTTCTTCGGGACCACTTCGTGAACAACGTGGATGCGGATGGTTCTGGGCATCTTTCAAGAGAAGATCTATTTGATCATATCAAGGAGAGTGAGAAGACTTCTCAATGGTGACAGTTTCCCCCCAAAAAAAGCAATAAATATCCAGACAGGTTTGCTTACATTCAGCCTGCGACTAGATGCTTTGAATCTGCTTGCTCTCAGATGCTCTATGGTGCTCTTTGTTGCAGTCACTGCAGGAAAACTTGGAGCAGGACGAAGGGCCTCTCAGCTCTGAAGATGTCGAACTGCTCAGAGAGGCGCGATCGAACGCAAGTGTTCACCAAGCATTTCGATGGACGGGTTCACCCGCTTAGGCTCTATTTGTAGAGTTAGTTGCACCAAAAATCTTCGAAACTACTCGCATGCGAGAGATTTTCCCCAAAGATCATACAAGCCATCAACTGGACGTCCTTAACATTAACAGCCATTGACATGACCCTAGTTACTTGTTACTCGAACATGTTAATTGCTTTTTGTGGAGACCATCCATGGGTAACATTCTGCGGAGGTGTTCCACGGAATGGAGCGCACCAAATGCGGAAAAAACCATATAAAACCAAGGTGGGTAGCTTAAAGATTATTGCAGGGGTCATGCCATCTAATGGAATATTTATTCGAATAATTTTGATGGAACCATATTTAAGCAAGGTAGTGGGTTAAGGCTCATTTTGCCAGATGCTCAGGCATGAGACGGATACAAAACGCAATAGATTCCACATGCAAGTTCTGAAGCTTTCTGAAACTGATTGTTGGGGGTGGAAGAACCAGGGCTGCTCGCTGAAACATGGGTTGAAAGCTGTATCATATCAAGATGAATGACATACTGGAATAAGCTTCAGCATCTATGGAAGGTGGTCAGGAAATTATAGTTATTCCAGGGGCCTGTGAGAGTGGGTCCCCTTAATCAAGTCACCCGGTGAGACCCTTCAGGTGGAGCGCTGCCGGTTCAGCGAAATGGATTTGGGCTTGGGAGGTGAAAACCTCGGCATGGCAGAATGGCTCCATTTTATGCTGCTTCGGGCCACTCGGATGAGTGTGGAGATATGAGTTGAATTGGCCGAAAGGGGCGGGCGTGGTTTCGTTTTGTTGAGTTGCTAGGAGTGGATCTAGGCCTCTAGGCCTGGTGAGGAACGTGAAGCACTATTTAAATCTTGATACGGGCACAATGCCCCATGAAGAGGTGAGTCGAGGAAAGGCTTGAGTAAAGAAGAACCACGATCCAGCACATGCATGTTTGACCTCCAGAAATCTCCAGAACCGGCAAATGTCATCATGTGTTTGGTGGCTGAGCTCAGCGGCCTGTGATAGGACAAAAGATGAACATCTAAGACTTTAAGAACACAATATGAAACTATGTGGATAAGCTGGCCCAGAAGGCGAACTAGACATGGCCAGTTAGCTGATTCAGATTGATACAGCACCGAAATATCAGCTTGATACACTTGATTTGGAAGCTGATTGGGCATTTGCACAGAAGAGTGGTGCAATCAGTTGCCCCAGTGCTTGCTCCTCGCATCATGTTGCGACAAATCCCGGCGCCAGAAATGTGAAAGGAGGAGAATCAGCACTCACCGGGTGCAGGTAGGAGAGACAGGAGAGAAAGACCGGAGAGAGAGGAGAAACAGAATAGACAGGTTTGAACATTCTGGCAGCTGCACTGACTGCAACTTTCCTGCCATTTGATTGCAGTCTGACATGCTCAGCTTCTAATATAACTAACAGCCCGTAATAGATCACAACACTGGAAAAGCAACATCAAATGATGAAGCTTCGGTTCTTTTGGTGTTCTTCACAATCTGAGGCCTCTGCTCCCAGCCATGTGGCCGCCAAGCACCTCAACCGACATTTGCGAAAAGCTCTGGAGGAGTTGCCGACGCGTGGCCACTTCGGTGGATGTCACGTCGCTTCACTGACTCAGGATTTGTTGATAAAGGCACATGTTTGAACAACACATGTCTGAAACCTTGGCTCATGCAAGCGTTTGTCCATTGCAACAAGAAGGATCGCTCGAGCTTCCTTTCATCGCTGTCCTGCTCTTTTCCTTGAGCAAGTTATCAATGAGTTCAAACAGTCTGGGCACTGTTTGAGAGTTACGTACCTTGCTCCACAAGCTGCGAGAAGAGCGAAGTTCTGACTCAAAGCTTCCAGGAGGATTTAGAGCTGCTTGGAAGACTTCACGCAGCTTTCGAGTACGCAGATTCACAAGGCGGGGTGGATGACGAGTTTAGAGTTCGCTAAGCACAAAAGCATACTGCACATTGCACATTTGTCCCGATGGCTGTGAGATATTGGAAGGTTGCTTTTCTGACGACTTCTCGGCAGGTGACGGCCTTCTTCGTCAAGAGAGGTGGCCTGAGGCCTTTGAGGTGGTTGGCCTAAGTAAGCCACCCGAGGAGATTCTGGAGGACAGGGAGGAAGATGGATCTCCATGGGTAGCTTTCTCAGACTCCTGAACAGTTCCGACGCGTTTGTGATGTTCGTTTGTTCCATGTATATTCCTGACTATTTCACTCCTTCTCGGTGCATGTCCATTTGCACAGGTTTCTTGCAAAGTGCTTTAGTTTGATACTTTTGACATGCGACACCCGCTTGAGGCTCTGAGCTACTACGAGTTTGTGGCTCATGCCTTGGGTTTGAAGGCGGCGGTGGT